ATTATGTGGTTTGATATAAGCAGTGTAGTTTAGATCAGTAGCAAACAGAACACACATTTGCCCCTTGGCTTGTGGGGAGGCAGAGGGTGCAAATCTTGGACTAGGCTCCGCCATTTGTAAATCAGTCTATGTATGCTAAACTTCTCTTATGGGTATTGACCAGTTTCTGATCACATACCAGTAAAAGTGTGATGTCTGCACCTGGCCTAGTAAGCCTTCCAATCCTACATAAAATTCCAGAGCAGCTAGTGATACTTTCTCATGACCAAATAATCTTTCCTACACTTTAGAGTGTTTTTAGGAAAGGGTAAGTTTTACTTCAAATGTATAAAATACAAAGCAAGACCAATCCAGATCTATTTAAATACCAGCTAATAGGGTAGTTTGAGCTATATAATACTACATGTTCTGTTCCTTCAAGAGTTGTTTCACATAGCTGATACTAAAATGTTGTAAAAAAACAGAAAAAAGCTGAATAATATGTTTACTTTTTGTTTATTGCTTTAGACAACATGCATTAAGTTACATGAATATTAAATATATTAATAAAAAAACATTAGTAAGACTCACAATTTATACTTACATTATAGTAAAAATATCCAAAACAAAACAAATACAAAATCCTCCAAATCCCATGAATTACAATTCAATATCATAATGGGAAATAACTAAATTGAATTAATAAGGATGCAATTATCCTTAATTTTGCAGGGCTCTAAAACGGCTCATTAATATATTTCTAATGAAGTTTTGTGCAAACTATGCAGAAGAGACTAAAACTAAAATGTTAAGGTACTATCATGTTGCAACATGATCTCCTGACAGGGTCAAATTTGCTTTGTAAACAGGCTTTTAATGGAGTTCTTGTAATCAGTGGCCATGTGCCATATGCAGGAGGCCTTCTCTAAGAGATATCAGAAAGTAACTCAGTTCAGACTAGAACAATTTACTCTTGTTAAGTGCAGCAAATAGTTCAGGCCAAAACTGTACAATAGGAGTGCTTACTGTTAGACACTTAAAATGGCCTGATTTTAAAGTTTTGAAACAAGGAGGACTTGGCATTGTTGAAAATCAGGGCATTTATTATATTTAAGAGTCTAAATATGAATTGAGGTGAAAAATACTTAGCAATTTTTTTAAAAACCATGACTCCTGGCTTCAAGTCAGTTCATCTATTAACCAGCTTCTTTGTCAAATATCACAGTCTTGTCACAAATATATGTATATTGAATATTTTGACTAAGAAATAAGATAATAACAAGCAGTTGTAAACCATAGGCCTGGGGAGTCTGCTCCGAAACAGATCTGTAACTTAAAATAATGATTCACACTTCCTTCTAAATGAAAAGCTGTGAATGCTAAGTGACTGCATTAAACTGTCTCTTGACTTACCTAAAGATGCTAAGTTTGATGCCATAGTTTATCATTTCAGTAGAACATAAACATTACACTTCAAAGCTGCATAAGTGCAAGTCCTATATTAAAAATATAAAACAACAACAACACAAAAGGAATGTGAATTCGGTCTTAATTTCACAAATATGATTAACACTTCTCTTGCACAGATACCTTAAGAAGGTTCATATAATGTAAAAGACATGTAAAGTCCCCTTGTAAAATAGAAGACAAACATTTACCTTACATGGTATAAACTCTTAAAATAAGAGCAATTAAATACTGAGAGAAGAGAGTGAATATTTTCATGTTCCTTTCCAAGAGCAAAGAATTAGTTTTAGATGTCAGTTCTGATCATGCATAGGATGTAGAAGATGCATAGAACTGATCAGGAAATAACTGAAATAGTAGGTGAAAGGCTAGTAGCCAAGTTTTCAAGTTCTGTGCTATGCCTCTAACAGAATAAGGTATGCCTTTGTGTGTGTTTAAGCCAGAAAAATTAAATTATCTTGGTCTTTGACAACTATTGACTTCATTAATGCAATGCAAATTTTGCAAAATGTGAAGGTACTCTTAAAGTGATTGTAAAAATACCAAGAAATATAAACATTATTTAACTAGTTTCCTCAGGGTAACAAGCTTTTTTGAAATTGTGTGCCAGTACCTGGTGGTTGTGATTCTGAAACAACGTGTGTGTAACAACTTGCTGGTGGTGTGCTTAAAACTGTAAAAACAATTGTTTGTTTATTCCAGCTGCTAATTCTGCCAGATAAGAATAAAGGAAACCTTATCAGTGGTTTCAGTAACATGTGTTGTTAAAGGCTCAGAATAACTATCTCTTAAAATCGTCAGATTTTCTGGACATATCAAAGGAATCTGCAGCAACAGAACTGACACCAGCTGCAAGGCTAGATCGCCTCAAAGATACTTCAGATGCAGGGATATGACGTAGTTCTCGGCGAGATAATTTTATTGGGGTTATTATTCCTTGTACTTCCTTGTGCATCTCAACTGTCTGAGGATGAGAAGATAGCTGAGAATAAGATTTTGAAGGCTGTACTTCATCTGTTCCTATATTGTTTTCACTACTTAAGAAACACCTTCTGCTGTGTCCTCTCTCTGCAACTTCTTCTCCAGGCTTGTATGAATTCTGCCATGTTCTTAAATTACTTGCTAGTTTGTCAATTTCTTTAAATATCCCTCTCTGATTGTTACTTTCAGTCTTTAATATCCATTTGACTTCTTCTGAAGAGACTTCTGCTTCATCTTGGCTCAATGTCCTGTCACCAGCACCATGACCTAAAATAAAATTTCCCAAGAAGCAAATGATTAAGATAAAATGCTCATCGGTATCTCCAGTCAAAGAAGCATCATTATTTTACTGAAAGTTATTTAGGAATCAGTTTTAGGGCAGTAATGAGATTAAGTGTGTAAAATTTCTATTATAATAATAATTCAGTATGGTTTAGCAAAATGCAACTAATTATCTCATATATAAGACTGTTGCTTCTAATTATAACATTTATACAAAGTTTTTCACCATTTTAATTTTGGCAGTTTACTTCCAGATGACCCTGAAACACACATCTAAATTATAAAAGGGCCAAATTTTCAAAATGTGCTTAGCTATGCAGGAAAACATAAAATTCTGCATGTTTTGTTTTAAAGTGTACCCATGCATTTCTACACTTTCTTTTTAAATGTGGGTCAAAAAGTTGCCAGAAAAACAGGTGTTTGTGTAGCAGAATAATGGTAAATCCAAGAACAAATTAAAAGTAAGCACAATATTTAAACTAACATTATAAAAATAGTGAACTAACTGTATTATTTCTGGCGAAGTTAGAAAATATTTTTCTCTCATTACTTGGCTAGGTCCAGTGTTTGAAGAAATTCTTGTCTCAAAATATGCACTTGCCTGCCAGCTAGATACCTCTAAAATAATTCTTCCCACACATTAGAATCAGACCTCTGGACATGCCTAAATGGACTCTGTATTGTTCCCAAGACTGCCATTGAAAAGTAAGTCCTGCCCACCCACTCTCGCTTTGCATATTCCAGATCCAGAATGTAAGAATACTCTGAGGATGCCCCACTCTGCAAGGATCAAGCAGGACAGATAGAGATCCCAAAAACATCTGGGAATGTCTCCTTGCCAAAAAGGAGGC